TTTTGAAAATTCAGACATTATTTTTGAAAATGCAGACATTGTTTTAAAATGCAGACATTATTTATTTTTGAAAATGCAGACATTATTTTTGAAAATGCAGACATTATTTTTGAAAATGCAGACATTATTTTTGAAAATGCAGACATTATTTTTGAAAATGCAGACTTTATTTTTGAAAATGCAGACTTTATTTTTGAAAATGCAGACTTTATTTTTGAAAATGCAGACTTTATTTTTGAAAATGCAGACTTTATTTTTGAAAATGCAGACTTTATTTTTGAAAATGCAGACTTTATTTTTGAAAATGCAGACTTTATTTTTGAAAATGCAGACATTATTTTTGAAAATGCAGACTTTATTTTTGAAAATGGTGACTTTTTTCGTGCAGAGGTCTGGTGGCGAGTTGAGCAGGTAACCGGAACCGGGGGTCCTTAAAAACAAAGATGGCGGATAATGTCGAAGGAGTGGAAGAGCTCAGAAGACTGACGGTTGAAAGGTGAAAATGCAGACTTTATTTTTGAAAATGCAGACTTTATTTTTGAAAATGCAGACTTTATTTTTGAAAATGGTGACTTTTTTATGCAGAGGTCTGGTGGCGAGTTGAGCAGGTAACCGGAACCCGGGGTCCTTAAAAACAAAGATGGCGGATAATGTCGAAGGAGTGGAAGAGCTCAGAAGACTGACGGTTGAAAGGATTGATCATGTTTATTCTACTTTAATGAATAATGCCGTAGATATAAACGACGTTCTCGAAGACGTAGAACAAATTTTCGAAGCCCTTTATGTCATAGATTCCGTGGTAGGACTGTCAGAAGATATTTTTCGTGACATTTTATCTGCAAAAGGAATACTAGAAAACATTTCAAGGTCTAGAACCACAAGAATCTTCAGCGGGGCGCCTGGACGGCCATCATACGATGTAGCACAAGACCAACTTCAGGCACTTATAGACGTGGGTTTTAATGTCGGCCAAATCGCCGAATTGCTACAAGTTTCCAAAAGGACAATTGAACGTCGCCTTGCAGAATATGGTATATCAACGCGATCGTATTGTGACATCGCCAATGACGAGTTGGACGCGATAGTTCAGGAGATAAAGCTATTTCACCCTAATGTTGGTTCCAAGAACCTCGCTGGTTATTTAGCTGCACGCAACATAAGAATTCCTAGACAACGAATCAGAGACTCCTTGCAAAGGGTCGACCCCCTTGGCGTTGCTGCTAGGAAGTGTAAAGCCATTCATCGTCGTGTGTATAGTGTTTCTCGCCCCTTAGCCTTATGGCACTTTGATGGCAACCACAAACTCATCAGATGGCGATTCGTAGTTCATGGTTGCGTTGATGGGTTCAGCCGAATCCCAGTATTCCTGTTTTGCCATACAAATAATAGGGCGTCCACTGTGTTGCAGAGCTTCCTAAGTGCTGTTTCGCAGTGGGGATTACCCTCGCGCGTTCGCAGTGATATGGGAGGTGAAAATATAGATGTAGTCGAATACATGATAAGCAGAAGAGGAACTGGCAGAGGTTCTGCGCTGGTTGGTAGAAGTGTCCACAATCAACGTATAGAACGTCTGTGGAGGGATGTATATCGTGATGTGTTGGATACCTTTTATGGTATTTTTATGTCCATGGAAGATATTCGGATATTAGATCCCATTAATGAAATAGATCTATGGTGTTTGCATTATTGTTTCTGCAATGTAATTAATAGAAAGTTGAAGTCTTGGGTGAATGCTTGGATAAGGCATCCTTTAAGTAGCGAACACAATCAAACTCCATTACAATTGTGGGTGAGAGGTCAATTTGACAATGCTGAACGATTAAATGTGGACCAGGTTATGGTATATGACAATTATGGTATTGACTGGGATGGTCCTGCAAGTACCGATGCTGATACCGAAGATGATGTTCATGTATCAGAAACTAATTGTCCGTTGTCTGAAGATCAGTTGAATCAGCTCAACGCCATGTTTGAACAAAGTAGTCCAGAAAATCCTAGTCCATGGGATTGTGTAAGAATTTATCAGCTTGTAAAAAACTTTACTTTGCAGTATATATGACAACTACCCATGACATTAATAAGGCCCCGATTACACTATACCGGATTGCTTTCGTATCGGATTGTTTTGCTATCCGATACAAAAATTGAAGCGTGTTCACACTACGCCGCTTCGCTCTGTTGCCAGTCGCGTAAACAATTTTATTTTTAGACATTTTGGACGTTTTCTCGACGGTACTTGCGAAATATAAGTTGACAACCTGACGTTGCTTTGCGTCGCTCTAACCGAAAAGTGACTAGTATTTCTTTAAATTTCCCCCCTTAAAAGCAATTATTTTCATTTTCTTTATTTGTCTATGCTAGAAACAGTAACAGGTTGTGAGAAGCAAGTATAGCAGCTGTAAATTCTGTAAAGTACTTAATCAAGGCCACAATGCAAAAACATACGCACCAAAATCTATTTTATAGTACCGGATTCCCTGTAATTGAGTGTTTACACTGCGCTGGCACATACCGCGTTGCTTTTCATATCACTTCCAGAGCGGAGTGATTTTCGCTACGCTAGACGTACCGGATTGTGTAAACAGCAGCCCAAACCGGCACAGAAATTGCGGCGCGACGATGCAAATTCGGTATAGTGTAAACGGGGCCTAAGACAATGCCGTCAGATGGTTAAAAAGGTGGGGTTTTTTATCATCTTCCCCCAGAAAAGATTAATTTACTTAGAAATATACTATATTTTCTGGAATGTATATGAATAGACCTTTCCGGTAATTACGTCACCTAACACTGTTATCAACTTAGGACCACCTTAAATGGAATAGATTTCAAGTTTGTTTCTTACGGGCTATGGTAAGAGAAGCAGAACATCCTTCTTCAACACATGCAATAAAAATAATTTTAGATTTTGACTATTAAATGTGGAAATAAGTTTAAACACGAAAACGAGGCTCTTTTTATGCATGTATTGAAGGATATTCTGCTCCTCTGACCATAACCCGTGAGAAACAAACTTAAAATCCATTCCATTTAAGGTGGTCCTAAGTTGAAAACAGTGTTGTATGTTGTGTATGGCAATGACATAATAGGCCTTTTATGAAAATGGTGTAATTACTGGGTTTTACTATATAAATTGTTAATTATGCATGAATAAGCCCAATATCTATAAACTTACAGTAATCTTTATATTCTCTGTACAAACGATAATGAGTTGATAGATGAAATTAAACCCACTTAAAATATGAGGCATAGCCAGAGGTGTTGCAGACATTATTAATATCTTACTGTATTAATTAGTGTTAGCTACATACAATGTTCTTAAATAACAGTACAAGTATCATGTCAAAATTAAGTTTCGTTAGTGAAACATCTGAACTAATAATTACAGGATAACAGATCATTTTTTTAACTTTGCGCTCATCTTGTCTTCTTTATATAAATTATGCAGTTTATATGCCAATAGGAAAATCTAACATGAATATGAACATGAACAAAAGGTGTTTTATCAATGTTTTTATCCTTTTCCAAAACCTTTGCATTCTAAAAGAGCTTCTTTAACGAAATTTGAAAAGTCAGATGGGTTTTCAAATCCTCTAGGCAAAAAAAAGTACAATCCGCAAGTCGATGCATATGGACGGCGACGAATACTCCCTTCAAAATCATAGAAGTCGATGGTAATCAATTTGTGAAACCCAAGAGGAGGTACACAATCAGCAGCGGTTATGAAAACTAGTAGGTCTTCAAGAGTTAGCCCAGCCACTTCACCTTCTTCAAGATCTTGAAGAAAAACTTCAAAACAATATATGGTACTATCTTCTCTCTCCCTCTTGTTTGAGCCTACTTCTGAACGATGCAATTCATAAAGTGACATGAACAGTGCTTTGGTCAATCGTTGATGCTGGTTGCCAAGGATTAGACAAAACAACATCTTATTGCCCGTAATCATATCACCAAGATTTCCAATACTGTTCAGTCCTTGAAAAAACTGAGAAATTTCTGCATGGACACCATACACAAAGTACTGCTTCAACAGTGACTCCACCATTTCATCTTTATCTGATAGTTTGCATATGTAGACCTTAGGGTTCCGATCTATATTGTGCAATCTTGTCACCATATTTCGTTACCAGTGCCGAAAATGTTTCTTCCGTTGAACATTCAACAGCTTTACCAAGGATCTCCTTCATTTCATGGTCAGCAACGGATTCAATTGCAACTTTGTGGTTAACTTCCACACTCGTGCGAAAATCAAACCCCGTAACCGACAAACAACGTGGACCGCTTCCGCCATGCAGTATGCTCCATGCAACTAACTTCCCAGCTAATTCATATCTGTTATCTGCCAAGAGACCAAGATCATGGGAGAACCAAGAACCATGGAAAATTGATGAATCGCAAATTTCACGCATTAAAAGCCGGAAGAATTCACGCTTTGGCCCCCCTTCATCAACAGCCTCTTCCCCAGCGAAAGTGACGAAGACTGGTTTTAAAAATGAGAACCTCCTCCTGTCTATTGCCTTTCGAGCTGTTGCAAAAATCGCTTTTCGGCTAATAGTGATGTTGGCATTCGCCTCCGATTCAGTATAGTCTAGGTTTTTAGTCTGAAATGTACCCAAAATCGATTGTACTGAATAGCTTTCATCTTCGAGGGTACCATTCTTCTGTTCAGAAACCTCGGCAAGGCTTGCTTCAATTGCTTCAATGAGTTCAGGATCTTCATTATCTTCACTTAACTCATCATCTATTATTTCAACATAATTTTCATACTCTTCATCACATGCTTGACTACGTTGAGCTGCAATATTACTTGTATGCAAAGACTCCACTGGGGACACATCATTGTTACTAATAATGTGCACATTATGCACAGGGGGCACATCATTGTTCCTGCTTGTATTCCAAGTTTGTACGGGGGACAGATCATTGTCAGAATTGACAGACGATAAACCAAACGCTGGGATTTCTAGCACACTATCATCCACATCATTCTCTGAATCTAAAGGTTGAGGGATTGAATCACTTAAAAAATAATCAGGAGGGAAAAGGAATGGAGGGCTTGGAGGCCAAAAATACAGTTTTGCATGGGTATCTTAGTAGCCACAGCATATAAAATGAACCAGTCACAACATTCAATTTCAATAGTACAAACTAAAACACTGAAGTGGGTACATTTGGGCGCATAAATTTGCTTACAGCTTCCTACTGTAAATTTTAATATCATTATGTGCGTTAAGGTGGCTCTATACAGTTTCATGAAAAATGGAAAACACATGTTTCAGACCCAAATTTTCTTTGAGAAGGAAATTTTGGCTTTATGAAGGAAAGGTGAAGGAAATTTAAAATTTAAGGAAATTTAGAAAAAAATAGGAAATTTGAAGGACTTTTCAAAATTTGCTGAAAAAATCAAACAAGCACATGTTTTTAACCACTTTTTCGCTCTAACTTCGGAAACACAGAAAAATAAAGATTATGAATGGACAACTTTTAACTTTTTGAAGAAATAGACACGTTCTTAAGTTCATTCACATAATTATCTAGTTGTCTCATTTGTCAAATTTCCTTTGTTTCCATTGTTGTCAAATTTCCTTTGAAAAGGGAATTTTCTTGAAAATGGAAGCGCTGGCCTCCTTGCAAACTCCATGTACATACAAAACTTATCTGCCTGTCAATACCAAATATAAAATGTTGTGCCACCAAAGGGAAGAGGATGCTATAAAAGGGGGTGTATTATTATATCAGAACATTTATATAAAGACAACATAAAAAACAAACCTTCATCTTTTGTTTTGCAATGTTTATAGTGATCCCTTAAGCTAATCAAATCTACCATATCATGGCAGTTCCTACATTCTTCTTTATGCGTGACAGCCGATGGACTATCTTCACCGAGTGGCAGGTCTTGCTGGATTGGTCTAATGTATATTCTGCCTTGACCTATGAATGAGGCAATGTATTTCATTGACAAACCATCTGGTCCAAGTGGGATGAGTAGTAAATCTTTGCTTCGGGTCTCAGCATACATTAGTTCAAATCCACCACAATCTTTTAACTTGGCGAAGGTCTCGATTAATAAGTCCCGAACATCCTTTTCATTGGCATGCTCGGGTACGGCAATCTTTACCTCTCCTAGCCCTGCAACTAACAGTTCTCTTTGTTCTTCTCGGTCTGGAATTTCGTACTGTTCTTTGTCAGCCAAGCACACAAATTTTCTGGTAATAGATTTTCTCTTACGTTTCCTTGAATTGGAACGATTTCTATTGTAACTTGCAGACCTAGAATTGGAGGAGAAGTGATGGGGAAATAGTGTCTGTAATTCGTTGTGAGTTCTCGAACCGGAAGTGCTTGGACCAACAGAGGTAGTGGATGAAGAACTCGAGGAAGAAATTGTTGTATTTTCGGCGGTTCGCGGTGTTGTCGAAGCAGTCGAATTTACTGTTAGTTGTGCCATTTCTCTTACGTTTCCTTGAATTGGAACGATTTCTATTGTAACTTGCAGACCTAGAATTGGAGGAGAAGTGATGGGGAAATAGTGTCTGTAATTCGTTGTGAGTTCTCGAACCGGAAGTGCTTGGACCAACAGAGGTAGTGGATGAAGAACTCGAGGAAGAAATTGTTGTATTTTCGGCGGTTCGCGGTGTTGTCGAAGCAGTCGAACTACTTTCGGTTGTTGCAAGAACAGAATTTATATTTTCCAACGGCGAACTACGTAATCGGGTCGCCAATTCACAAAATACACGAGCAGCAGTTGACAAATCATCGGCCATATTCTTCACCCACGTAAAAAAAGCATGGTTCCTGGCTTCCCGCCCAAATTATCCGCCATCTTTGTTTTTAAGGAGCCCGGGTTCCGGGTACCTGCTCAACTCGCCACCAGATAATGCCGGCATAAAACAAGTCTGCATTTTCAAAAATAATGTCTGCATTTTCAAAAATAATGTCTGCATTTTCAAAAATAATGTCTGCATTTTCAAAAATAATGTCTGCATTTTCAAAAATAATGTCTGCATTTTCAAAAATAATGTCTGCATTTTCAAAAATAATGTCTGCATTTTCAAAAATAATGTCTGCATTTTCAAAAATAATGCCTGCATTTTCAAAAATAATGTCTGCATTTTCAAAAATAATGTCTGCATTTTCAAAAATAATGCCTGCATTTTCAAAAATAATGCCTGCATTTTCAAAAATAATGTCTGCATTTTCAAAAATAATGTCTGCATTTTCAAAAATAAAGTCTGCATTTTCAAAAATAATGTCTGCATTTTCAAAAATAATGTCTGCATTTTCAAAAATAATGTCTGCATTTTCAAAAATAATGCCTGCATTTTCAAAAATAATGCCGGCATTTTAAAAACAATGTCTGCATTTTCAAAAATAATGTCTGCATTTTCAAAAATAAAGTCTGCATTTTCAAAAATAATGTCTGCATTTTCAAAAATAATGTCTGCATTTTCAAAAATAAGCACTCTGACTTTTGGCGGTAACGGCACCTCATATTAGACATTACAATATCATATTTCACACTACAGTTTTCACGTTCAACGCCTAACTATGATTTATATGATATGACACCAATATGCTTATCATAAAGTAGTTATCTATTAAAACTACGTTGTGTAGTTTAGGTTATAACCTTTTACCTTGCAATTGTCTTTGGCTCGTTTATAATCAGATTCAGTATATTTAATATGATCTAATGATCGTGCACGGGAATTCAAAGATCCAAATTTCGGATTTTCAGAGTCGTGTACCAAGAAAAATGCATTAACTAAACTAGCAAAAATGCCCAGAGTTAGACACAATGCAAAATCCATAGAAAACCGGTACAATTCGTTGAAAATTTTAACGTAATTGTTTGAAACATTTTGCCCACTCACGAAAGGCCGCCATTTTGAAAAGGATAAATTGGGTTTATTACGGCAGCGGGCACGATGTAAACAATCGATGTAAACTAATCGCTGATTGGCTTAAATATATCATGAATTGGCTCAATTATATAAGCTCTTCGCTGAATGGCTATGTGCTAACATACGGTAACATCACGTTTGCGATAGCATATATATCTGCTTCGCAGATACAAAAATTAAATTTACAAATAAAATTGAGTTCAAACCGTTCAATGTTCGTTCTGAATAGTCAGTTTAAATCTGTCCACAAATTATAATTGGGTACCTGAATTAATATACACGAGTACTAGTAAATCAATAATACATTAATAATTATATTTAACAGTTATAAAATTTTGAAACCGTTCTGTGTTCGTTTGGAGTGACCAGCTTGATTCGGACCTAAGATTATAATTATGAGTAGTTGGATGTATACGAGTTGCAACAACATCCTTAAGAGGATTTATAGGGCCATTGTAAAGGATCGGACTTTGAGAGCGGCTGAGATTACTGAACCGTCCCGATAAACTCGACAAAACAAACTAACAACAACGCATAGACCTTTCGTGGTCTATGTTACAAACGCATAGACTCTTCGTGGTCTATAGTCTTCTTGTATGTTAAACGTATATTTATCCAGGACAGTACGTAAAAACTAAAATAAACAATAATTACAAGTCATTAATCTATCTACTTTGCTATATATTACAATTATAAATCACTACAGTATATTATTATATAAACGTACCTCTGTCCCCGCAGATCCCTTTTTATAAACTCTTAGTTAATAACTCTCGTTTATATCACCGTTCGATTTCGATGCGCTCCGACTATAAGCGCTCTAACTATAACTAAACAATTCCAAATTCTACCTACTAATCTTTTTGGGTTAATTATTTATTCATGCATATCTTATCATAAACTGTTTAGAATAATTAAACTAATTAGAAGTCAATTCTTAACAACCATTGTCAAGCTTCAATTTCCGGATTTATTATATTCATTTTGAAATCAATGGTGTTCTCTGCAATCTGATTGGTTCACAGGAGTGCGATTTCAGCACGAATCGCACTCCTAGCAGTGCGATTCGTGCTGAAATCGCACCTTCTTTCAACCAATCACATTAGAGTGCTGATTTCAGCCAACCAATCATATTTAATCATAGGATTCAAACAGCCAATCAAATGTAAGAAAAATGTGATATGGCAAATGAGCAAAAACAAAAAATTTTCATGCCATGACTACTCTTGAGTGCCTAAGCAATTTTTTGCACATAAAAACCAAAAAATATGGATAGCTACAGTAAACTATCAAAGAATTGCAAAAAATTTTAATTTTTTTGAAATTTCACAAATAGTAACTGGCAAAAATGCCAACAAAAGCAAATTTAAAGCGTCAGGATAGACAGGACTCCGGGAAAACAAAGGTAAATTCGCCAATCGTATTTCCAATTTTAAACGCACAAAACTGCACCAAAACTCTTTCAATCACTCGTAAGACCTACAATATGTTTAAACTTACTTGTGTTGTCTCTTATTCTTTATAAATGTCTTCATTTCTTTAAGATTTTTCCAGTATTTGAACGTATTTATAAACAAAACTTACAAAACTATGAAAGTTCATCTTGTTCGCTTATTGTTGTATGCTACAGCACTCAGGGAGGTGCCGGAGGTGTGTCTTTTGCAAACAAAAACGTTTCCGGTTTACAAAAATATTTAAGATTTCAAAATGAATATAATAAAGTGGAAATTGAACTTCGTGTCGTGCAATTTTGGACTGAAATCAAACTTATGATTACAAATCGCACTCCCGCTTCGCGGTCGTGCGATTTTGTAATCACGCGTTTGATTTCAGTCCAAATTGCACTCCACTCAGTTCAATTACCATTATAAATTGTTCGCAGGAATTATGTTTACGTGTACTTAACTTTTTTAGACCGGTATAATGTGGACCGTTGTCTGTTACTAGCTGTTCAGGAATACCATGCCTTGAAAAATGAGCTTTCAATTTCTTGATCACTGACGTTGAGGTTGTACTTCGAAGATTATCCAATTCGAAGAAATCACTGAAGTAATCAGTGGTGACCAGGTAGGTTCTTCCAGCATGTTCGAAAAGATCAGCTGGTACACGTTGCCATGGTCGACTTGGTACCTCATGACTCATTAGAGTTTCTTTCGTCTGGCTTCGTTCATATTCTCTACACACCTCGCAAGTTGACACAAAATTCTTGATGTCCCCGGACATCCCAGGCCAGTATAAACACTCTCGGGCCTGTTAAGACATCCATTGACACCAAGATGCGCATTATGAACTCTCTTCATCAGATCGCTTCTAATCGCTCGTGGAACTACCACTCTTTCTCCTTTGAAAATGAGTCCATTTTGAACGGACATTTCATCTCTCATGTTGTAATATGGAGAGATGATATTTGGTAGGGCAGATTTCTGTTCAGGCCAGCCCTGTTGGATTACGGCCTTGAGGACCTGGAGAGACTCGTCATTCTCCGTTTCTCGCTGTATCTGCAGGAGTCTCTCTTCTGATATAGGCAGATACTTTAGCATGTTGATGGTTTCGAACTCCGGTTCTCCTTGACCAATTGTCTCTGGAACATAGGCTCTAGAAAGGGTGTCTCTACTAGCATTATTTTCCCACTTTGGTACCGGACTTCGACGTTATACTTCTGCAGGCGAAGAATGATTCCTTGTAATCTCTTCGGTGCTCGATGTAAGGGTTTCTTGAGAATCGACTCAAGAGGTTTGTGATCTGAGTGGACAATTGTCTTTCGACCAAATGTGTAATCGTTGAACTTTTCCACTGCAACAACGACAGCTAACATTTCCTTATCTTTTCTTATAACGAGATTCCGTTTCCGTTAGAGCTCGGCTTGCATACGCAATTGGCTGTCCGTTCTGAATCAAAGCAATTGAATTTCCAATTGTTCTGCAGGTTGGTAGTATGCCAAGACTGGTGCAGCTGAGATAAGCTTCTTCACGTTATCCCATGCTTTCTCGTGAGCATCACTCCAACTCCACACGACATCTTTATGGGTAAGATCTCGCAAGGGTTTCATCGCATCAGACAAATGAGGCAGGAAACGACTAAGATAGGTTACCATCCCGTTTTGGCGTAACACGTCTTCTCGGTTTTCTGGACGCGGCATTTCTCTTATTGCTCTAACTTTCTCTGGGTCTGGTTTCAATCCCTCGGTGGTCAGCAAATGTCCATGAAATGGAACTTCTTTGCACTTGAACTCTAGCTTCTGGGGATTTAACTTTATGCCCTTATGTTGACACCTACACATAAAGTTGGCTAAGTTCCTGTCATGATCAGCTTCACTGGTACCATAAATCAACACATCGTCAGCGATACACTTGACGCAAGGAAGGCCTTCTAACTCTTGATTTAGACGCTTCTGGAATATCTCGCTCGAGACATTGAGACCAAATGGAAGACGAAGCCATTTGAAACGACCATAAGGAGTTGCAAAAGTTGTCAGGACGCTGGACTCTTCATCCAGTTCGAGATGCCAGAAAGCTGAAGCTAGATCCACTTTAGTAAACACACACGCATCTGTCAGATCTGGTAATAGATCATCAATCACAGGGATTTGATAATGTTCCCCCTTCAAAGCAGCATTCAAGGGTTTTGGATCGATACAAATCCACAACGAACCTGATTTCTTCATGGCGACCACGATTTGGCTGACCAATTCCGTTGGTTCGTCCACAGGGGCTATGACTTTTAAGTCTTCTAATCTTTTCAGTTCATTCTTGAACTTTTCTCTAACAGCCACGGGTATTTTCCTCGCGGGTAACACCACAGGTTTGCAAGTGGCATCTACTTGCAGATGAACCTTGCCGGACAATGTCCCAAGATTTTCATCAAAAACATCTGGATACTTGTTTACAGGATCATTGTCACATTTCTCCACGACATTGACAAAGTTTTCGCTGTGAACTGTTAGCAATTTCATCTTCTCTACCGCATTCAAACCCAATAACGGTGTCCAATTCTCTTCGACGACCAGAAATTTCACTTGATACTTTACGTCATTCTTTGGGTTAATCACCGGTAGGGTACAAGATCCCAAGGGTTTGACCTTTGCCATTCCACATCACGAGTGTCTTGGTACACGGAGTAAGCTCGACATCTTTGGCAAACTTGAGCGGTAATACATTAGCACTTGCACCACAGTCGATCTGAAACTTTATAGCTTTGTTATTGATGTGCATTTTCGCGAACACAGCCTTTTCTCGCACTGCTTGGACTTTGACCATGCTGATTTCCTCGTACTCGTCTTCGCTCTCGATACTTTAAACTGAGGTTTTCTTGCATTTCTTAGCAAAATGGTTTCTTTCTTTGCATCGATTACAAGTTTTTCCCCATGCCAGGCATTTCTTTTTGTCTGGCGCGTGTTCGTAGCCACAAAATTTACATGAAACTTTCTTGCCAGATTGTAACCCTTTCTTTCCTTCGAAAACTCCTGGCTTAATCTTTGCTTTCGACTGGAGTTGATATCTTCGGGCTCTGCAAGAGACTTCATCTGCATGTCCGTAACTTCTTCGCTTCGACATATGTCTATGCATTTGTTTAAGGTGAGGTCTCTTGTTCTTAGTAGCTTCTTCGTTGTTTGTTCATTCTTAATTCCCAGGACAATACGGTCACGAATTAAACTATCGCGAAGGCACTCACAGAAATTGCAGGTCTTTGCCAAGGTTTTCAACTCAGCGACGATATTGTCCACGGATTCAGTTGGAAGTTTATCGCGTCTATTAAAACAGTATCTTTCGTATATCTCGTTTACTTCCCCAATGCAATGCTTTTCTAATTTGCTTATGACCACACGCCAGTCATTAACATTCTCTTCTGTTGCGTAACTGAATGTTTTAATGACCTTTAAGCCATCGTCCCCAATTGCACGTTTAAACATCGCTAACTGATATTCGGTTCGCTTTCTTGTTGTAGTCTCGAGATAACGAAGTAGTGGCTGTATTTCTCTTTCCATAGTTTCCAATTTTCGGCGATTTCACCACTATTTCTCAAGTCTAGAGGCTGTGGCGGTAATATTTGATGAAGCATAGCTAATTGTGTTGGTTGTACTTGAGGTATTTCGCCTTGAACAACTTCTGGCGTTTCATTCTCCATGCCGTAGTCGTAGACGGTATGATTTGTCGACGACTAAACTAGTATTGGTCACGAAAATTCGCTTTAATACGCTTTTCAGTCTTTTGACTCGTGTCTTAGACGAGCAAGATTTATTACTGACCAAAACAACCTATTGTCTACACAATATATAACCTAATTATGAATAAATTACCATCTATAACAATATGCACATCGTTGGTTTCTTGAGCTTCGGCCATGACGACTTCTTCTCGGGACAAGCGTTTAACAAACTGATCCTGACTTCCTTGTATCTCTGTCTTTTATGTGTCACGCATGATTGCATTGATTGATGTCACGCATGATTGCACTTAGAATAGTTCTTTGTACTTGTACGCGTTTTCTTTTCTTGGCATTTTAATACAAATCTATGAAAATTGCGATGATTTATGGCGAAATTTCATTCGGCGGCGAAAAACTGTCATACCAGTTCTGAATTCATGTCGAATGTGTTGTGCATGTTTCGCATTACATACAGGCATTACGATTTCTTATGTTATTTACTTAGCCTAGAATATTCATCTTTACAACAATGGAGATATTACTCTTCTAACTATAAAAAAAAATACAAAACAAGTGAAACTCCAAAAATCGATAGCATATTTATCTACGTTTCGACTATATTTCAGTCATCATCAGGATAAATTAGCTATAGGTTATACAGTGGGGTCAAAAGTCTGAGTTCAGTCAATATAATTTTGCCTTTTATTTATATACAATTTATTCTTACACAACACACCGCTATATGTGCGTCGAATAAGGAATGTTGTACATGTGAATGTATATAAATATCTACATTTAAATATCTATGCCTATCCTATACGGAATGTACAACTTTCAGAAGCTGAGCGAAACATCTCTCCGTTGCAATAATTCCTCTGAAAGTACCGACTATCGTTCCTATAAAGTACAGAAAGCTTATCCGGTACAGTGCTCGATATAAACAAATAATTTTATACAGCAATCACCATTGACAATGGAGCTACACGCGTAAAAACGCACAAGAAATCACATCATTCAAGTCCACCTTATCACAACCCGCACACCCGATTACCTATATATACATGAACTTACGGTTACAGCTCAACAGCTGGCCTCTGTAGCTCAGATGGTTAGAGCGCTGCACCGGAATCGCAGGGCCGTAGGTTCAATTCCTACCAGAGGACCTTGTGCTGCATTTTTCGCAGTCGTTCCTGGTCAGGTCTTAAAATGTATATAATCACTTGGATTACAAACCCTAACATTCTAATAACAAGCTGAAACAAACCTACAACTTGTTATCGTCTTGCGATTCAACAATTTGTCGACAAGTCGTGAGTGACAACCTTGTAGCAACTTGATAAGTGGTTCGATTCTCGCTACGGACTCATATGAAAAAAATCTGTTAACACTCTGCCGAAAGTCGTGGGTTTTCTTCGGGTACTCCAGATTCCTCTCACAGGGCAAGTTGGCAGGGTGGGTTAGTCTGAACTTAATCATGGACTTAAAGCTTCTAAAGAACTAATCGTATTTAATTAATTCATTAATAATCAACCTAATGATTGTATCATATTTCATATAAATACTGCTTTTGATGTACAGTGGGGGTCAAAAGTCTGAGTCCAGTCAATATGCTTTTGCCTTTTCTTGATATACAATATATTTTCACACAATAGAGCACTATTTGTGCATCAAATAAGGATTTACATCAACGTTGCAATTGATTATACTATATTAGTCAAGTGAACATTATTTTAATATTTTGTGTGACCTCCTTTTGATTTTAAAATAGCTTTAACTCTTCCTGGCATAGATTCAACAAGTGTTCTAAGTACTGCTGGCACAAGGGTATTCCAGCATTAATTAAGGACACCCCATATAGGTTTTTTTTACTTGTGGGATCATGTGTTACTTTCTGTCGTTTCAAATGATCCCATAAATTCTCAATAGGACTTAGGTCCCGAGATTGAGGAGAAAAATCCATAACAACCAGATCACCCAATAATTTTTACACATGTGAGAAGTGTGTTTCGGATCATTATCCTGCGTTGCAAGACAAATCCCCTTCCACACAACCTTAACCTAGATGGTATGGCTTGTCTTTGAAGGATAGAATGATATTGTTGTTTCGTAAAAATTAGTTTATAAGTAGGGAGCAAGAGAAAGGTGATCTGGTTGTTATGGATTTCCTCCTCAACCTCCAGATCTAAAATCCTAAATCCTTCCTAAATCTGAGCACATTACGTGCAATCGGCTAACCAATAACAATAACATGTGCGATAAACGACCACAGATGTAAGCACACTTACGCGCCTGGAAACAAAGACGTGCCTTAAATCGAGCTCACGTTGCTTAGGTATCCGGCTTGTGATGTACAAACGCCCTTGAAACATCGAGGATATATATATAGCCTACATCAATATATCTCACAAGTCAGATAAGCGAAACTAATCAAGATTTGGGATATTTATTTCTTATCTCTGTACAGTCGTGCACTACAGTATTAAATTTTAACCCCCCTAAAAGTTCAAGGGATCTCTGAGCAATCGAAACAATTGGGTCGTTGGATCATTCATCGATAGCGAATATCAAAGAAAAAACCATTCCTGACTACAAAACTGTTCGTACGAGGAGAGTCATTACATGCAAGTAAAGAGTTGATTATAAGAATAAATTAAAATTAAGTTGGCTTTCTTATTGGAACATTTAAATTGTTGTAATACTATGTGTAACTTGAGTAAAATAGAACAAACAGCTTTTCTTTATTTTTTCGCGTGATCATGCGTAGCTACGCTCGCACGCTATGTGACATTATTATTCATGCGTACCAACCTTTGCTATTATTAATGCAGCTATTAAAAGCTCACTCACACTCTATGAGTGGAGGTTCAATCTGGACTTCTCTTGAGTGTCAGTGCTGTTTTTAAATAGCTGGAGGGTGAGTAGTCGCATAGTAGGGTACGACACTAACCCTCCAGCTATTCAAAAACTGCACTAACACTAAAGGGAAGCTGAGATTGAACCTCCACTCTTTGAGTGTGAGTGAGCTTTTAGAATACAGGCGTCTCCCGACAAAGGGCCTTCGCTCGAAACGTCGAAGTTCTCCTTGTATATTACAGGTAGTTATATCCCTATCAATCCGAGGCTCTCTGATTTTTAAAGTATTCTTTCAAGTCTGCATAACGTGTGACATTTTTCTATGACAAATACACACATTTAACAGCGATAAAACGTACAAAACAAGGCGAGGGTTTTTTTTATATAATATAAATGTTTTTGCTAATTATTTGTCTTGTTTCAGGTTAAATGAATTAAGAGGTTTTACAAAGAAGATTTACCATGTCTCAGTCAAATGGGGGGAAACGTGACGGGGGACGCGAGTTTTCTAACCAAGAGAACAATCGTCGATTGAGAGAAGTTGCTGGCAATTTAAGAATTATTGGCGATAACTTGAACAACCAGTACGAACAGCGTCGTGTGGAACAACCTTTTGCACAAGATGCTGATGTTGAAGAAATTGTCCACCAGTGTTTCGTCATAATTGTTCAACTCTATCATATGTTTTGGTAGAGATTATGTCCATTTTTAATTTCACATGAAATCTGAGTTTAAATATGAGAATCATAAAAGGGAACAATTTGAACAGTATAGATATGATTTTGAGGAAATTGCTCGTCGATTTTGAGCAACAGAGATTTAATTACTACAATGAATTTTCCACAACGACATTTTAAGGAAATTGGTTGATTTGGTATTGTAATCTTCGATCAACCGTGTAGCCTGTTTGATCTGACAGGGATGATTTTCTATTTTCTGTATGACAATTATTAATAACATTACGAAGTAATAACGTTGACAATTATTAATAACAAAATATCATTTTATGACAATTTTATGTTACTTCAAAACATCTTTGGTTACATTCGTGCAAAGAATTACGTTAAAATTAATGTTTTCAAAAAAGGTATATAAAAGTGTACCTAGGGTTCACTATGTCTGTAGTATATTTATTTACTTGTGTTTCACGTTTTAAGGCCACAATTCCCTAAAAAGATCGGTGACCTCCGTTTTTTAACTGATAATTTTTTTCTTTAATGCATTTTACATTTCATATCCGAAATTAAAAGAAAAATCATTTCTGGATCTAAATAGGTAGTCCAAGAACCAAAAAAGTGGTACGGGTACCAATTTTATCCGTGCCGTACCAAAAATTGAGCGTAGTGTAAACGGGGCTTAAGGTAATTCCGCAGTAATTGTTCCCGATATGAGAATGTGCTGAAACTTCCCAGGCATGGAGTTTATGATATACTTAAAGTAAAATCACAGAAAAAAGTTGGGGTCACCGAACTCGTTAAGAAGATATGACAATCACAATATACCACCTTTACCCCAATATGGTGCCATCTTGACGCTCATTACGAGTAACAGCAAACTCACAACAGCCCGATATTTATTAAAGTTTTTAGCGCGGATTTTGCTTTAGTAAACCTATCTTGTAATTATTTTTGAAAACGTATTGTGTTTTGAGCAAAATGAAACTACTAACGTGTACAATTCTGATCCACAGGCACAGATATCTTTTCCACATTTCTTTACATATCTTTCTTTGAGAACATGCATTGATAAAGCATATCTATTTTCAAGATCCAGAAATGATTTTTCTTTTAATTTCGGATATGAAATGTAAAATGCATTAAAGAAAAAAATTATCAGTTAAAAAACGGGGGTCACCGATCTTTTTAGGGAATTGTGGCATTAAAACGTGAAACACAAGTAAATAAATATACTACAGACACAGAGAACCCTAGGTACACTTTTATATGCCTTTTTTTGAAAACATTGATTTTAACGTAATTCTTTGCACGAATGTAACCAAAGATGTTTTGAAGTAACATAAAATTGTCATAAAATGATATTTTGTTTTAAACGGTACGTATAATGGATGAAATTATATAAGTTATAAGATGTGCGCAGTAAAAGTGCGCAATGCAAAACTGCGGAATTACCTTAAGCTAACCTGTCAACATTCCCTGTTGGAGAAAACTGGAGTCAAATAAAACAGGAGATTTTCGGCAGAGCGTTAACTGACTCTTTTCATACAGAAGTGTCATAAGGCTATCGGCAGCGAAAATCGAACCTACGATTTCAGAGGTGGAATTTGCTTGAAACCAAAGTGAACCCAGGAACAAGTGTTTTATAAATGTCACACGCTATGCACATCATTCAAATAAATTTGGCTGTAAATAAGTTCTTCAGGTTATAAACAATAAAATTTATTAAATGTCTCAATTTATTTCCTGGTAATTAATTATTTACAGCATATATATGTAGTGCCTCTACAGTTACCACCAGCAGATATCTTATTACAAGCAGAAGGCCTGAAACTAGCAATTAAATTGCACAGGGAAGACCACGTGACATATTATGGTTGATATGATTTGCCAATAGGCTTATGCATTATTGATGAGTGTTTGAAATATAGTTTACGTCTGTTTTAAGAATCAACCAAGATGGCGTGCAACCACCAATATTTAAATCTGGTCTTTATCATTTATATACAAAAACACAACCAGATGTATTCGCAATCACAAACGGTTTTTTGAAACTGGTTTCCGTCACTGTCTGAAAAAGTTGAAACGTTATTACTTCGTAATATTATTAATAATTGTCATACTGAAAATGGAAAATCATCCCTGTCAGATCAAACAGGCTACACGGTTGATCGAAGACCAAATCAACCAATTTCCTTAAAATGTCGTTGTAGAAAAATCATTGTAGTAATTAAATCTCTGTTCCTCAAAATCGATGAACAATTTCCTCAAAATCATATCTATACTGTTCAAATTGTTCCCTTTTATGATTCTCATATTTAAACTCAGATTTCATGTGAAATTAAAAATGGACATAATCTCTACCAAAACATATGATAGAGTTGAACAATTATGACGAAACACTGGTGGACAATTTCTTCAACATCAGCATCTTGTGGAAAAGGTTGTTCCACACGACGCTGTTCGTACTGGTTGTTCAAGTTATCGCCAATAATTCTTAAATTGCCAGCAACCTCTCTCAATCGACGATTGTTCTCTTGGTTAGAAAACTCGCGTCCCCCATCACGTTTCCCCCCATTTGACTGAGACATGGTAAATCTTCTTTGTAAAACCTCTTAATTCATTTAACCTGAAACAAGACAAATAATTAGCAAAAACATTTATATTACATAAAAAAAACCCTCGCCTTGTTTTGTACGTTTTATCGCTGTTAAATGTGTGTATTTGTCATAGAAAAATGTCACACGTTATGCAGACTTGAAAGAATACATTAAAAATCAGAGGGATTCGGATTGATAGGGATACAACTACCTGTAATATAAAAGCTCACTCACACTCAAAGAGTGGAGGTTCAATCTCAGCTTCCCTTTAGTGTTAGTGCAGTTTTTGAATAGCTGGAGGGTTAGTGTCGTACCCTACTATGCGACTACTCACCCTCCAGCTATTTAAAAACAGCACTGACACTCAAGAGAAGTCCAGATTGAACCTCCCGTCATTGAGTGTGAGCACCCCCCCCCCCTCATATAGCGACGGAAGTAATTAGTATTCAAGCGAATGTATGTATGACGTCAACAGGAGTGTACGTTCAAGTGGTCGTACTTAGTGTACGTCCATACGTTCGTACTTACGCCCGTATTCTAAAAGCTCACTCACACTCAATGAGTGGAACTTCAATCTGAGCTTCTCTCGAGTGTCATTGCTGTTTTTGAATAGCTGGAGGGCTATATAGTGTCATACCTTACTATGTGACTACTACTCACCCTCCAGCTATTCAAAAACAGCAATGACACTCAAGAGAAGCTCAGATTGAACCTCCACTCATTGAGTGTGAGTGTGCTTTTAATAGCTGCATTAATAATAGCAAAGGTTGGTACGCATGAATAATAATGTCACATAGCGTGCGAGCGTAGCTACGCATGATCACGCGAAAAAAAAAAGAAAAGCTGTTTGTTTTATTTTACTCAAGTTACACATAGTATTACAACAATTTAAATGTTCCAATAAGAAAGCCAACTTAATTTTAATTTATTCTTATAATCAACTCTTTACTTGCATGTAATGACTCTCCTCGTACGAACAGTTTTGTAGTCAGGAATGGTTTTTTCTTTGATATTCGCTATCGATGAATGATCCAACGACCCAATTGTTTCGATTGCTCAGAGATCCCTTGAACTTTTAGGGGGGTTAAAATTTAATACTGTAGTGCACGACTGTACAGAGATAAGAAATAAATATCCCAAATCTTGATTAGTTTCGCTTATCTGACTTGTGAGATATATTGATGTAGGCTATATATATATCCTCGATGTTTCAAGGGCGTTTGTACATCACAAGCCGGATACCTAAGCAACGTGAGCTCGATTTAAGGCACGTCTTTGTTTCCAGGCGCGTAAGTGTGCTTACATCTGTGGTCGTTTATCGCACATGTTATTGTTATTGGTTAACCGATTGCACGTAATGTGCTCAGATTTAGGAAGGATTTAGGATTTTAGATCTGGAGGTTGAGGAGGAAATCCATAACAACCAGATCACCTTTCTCTTGCTCCCTACTTATAAACTAATTTTTACGAAACAACAATATCATTCTATCCTTCAAAGACAAGCCATACCATCTAGGTTAAGGTTGTGTGGAAGGGGATTTGTCTTGCAACGCAGGATAATGATCCGAAACACACTTCTCACATGTGTAAAAATTATTGGGTGATCTGGTTGTTATGGATTTTTCTCCTCAATCTCGGGACCTAAGTCCTATTGAGAATTTATGGGATCATTTGAAACGACAGAAAGTAACACATGATCCCACAAGTAAAAAAAACCTATATGGGGTGTCCTTAATTAATGCTGGAATACCCTTGTGCCAGCAGTACTTAGAACACTTGTTGAATCTATGCCTGGAAGAGTTAAAGCTATTTTAAAATCAAAAGGAGGTCACACAAAATATTGAAATAATGTTCACTTGACTAATATAGTATAATCAATTGCAACGTTGATGTAAATCCTTATTTGATGCACAAATAGTGCTCTATTGTGTGAAAATGTATTGTGTATCAAGAAAAGGCAAAAGCATATTGACTGGACTCAGACTTTTGACCCCCACTGTACATCAAAAGCAGTATTTATATGAAGAAATATGATACAATCATTAGGTTGATTATTAATGAATTAATTAAATACGATTAGTTCTTTAGAAGCTTTAAGTCCATGATTAAGTTCAGACTAACCCACCCTGCCAACTTGCCCTGTGAGAGGAATGTGGAGTACCCGAAGAAAACCCACGACTTTCGGCAGAGTGTTAACAGATTCTTTTCATATGAGTCCGTGGCGAGAATCGAACCACTTATCAAGTTGCTACAAGGTTGTCACTCACGACTTGTCGACAAATTATTGAATCGCAAGACGATAACAAGTTGTTGGAACAACAAGCCTGTTGCAGGTTTGTTTCAACTTGTGCGTTTTTACGCGTGTAGCTCCATTGTCAATGGTTATTGCTGTATAAAATTATTTGTTTATATCGAGCACTGTACCGGATAAGCTTTCTGTACTTTATAGGAACGATAGTCGGTACTTTCAGAGGAATTATTGCAACGGAGAGATGTTTCGCTCAGCTTCTGAAAGTTGTACATTCCGTATAGGATAGGCATATATATTTAAATGTACAGTACATGTGAATGTATATAAATGATAGATAATTAAAATCTCGATTAAAATGCGATGAAAAATCATATTTTTAATAAAGTATAAGTATTACTATAAGTGGCTGTGCAGTGCTTAATCGTCCTGTAGCTGAGACCTAAGCTGAATTGTGAAGGACGTACTTCAAACCTGTTCGCGTTGAAAGCTTTCTATAAGAAGATATGACAATCACAATATACCACCTTTACCCCAATATGGCGCCATCTTGACGCTTATTACGAGTAACAGCAAACTCACAACAGCCCGATATTTATTAACGTTTTTAGCGCGGATTTTGCTTTAGTAAACCTATCTTGTAATTATTTTTGAAAACGTATTGTGTTTTGAGGAAAATGAGACTACTAACGTGTACAATTCTGATCCACAGGCACAGATATCTTTTCCACATTTCTTTACATATCTTTCTTTGAGAACATACATTGATAAAGCATATCTTTTTCAAGATCCAGAAATGATTTTTCTTTTAATTTCGGATATGAAATGTAAAATGCATTAAAGAAAAAAATTATCAGTTAAAAAACGGGGGTCACCGATCTTTTTAGGGAATTGTGGCATTAAAACGTAAAACACAAGTAAATAAATATACTACAGACACAGAGAACCCTAGGTACACTTTTATATGCCTTTTTTGAAAACATTGATTTTAACGTAATTCTTTGCACGAATGTAACCAAAGATGTTTTGAAGTAACATAAAATTGTCATAAAATGATATTTTGTTTTAAACGGTACGTATAATGGATGAAATTATAAGTTATAAGATGTGCGCAGTAAAAGTGCGCAATGCAAAACTGCGGAATTACCTTAAGGTACCCTGTCAACATTCCCTGTTGGAGAAAACTGGAGTCAAATAAAACAGGAGATTTTCGGCAGAGCGTTAACTGACTCTTTTCATACAGAAGTGTCATAAGGCTATCGGCAGCGAAAATCGAACCTACGATTTCAGAGGTGGAATTTGCTTGAAACCAAAGTGAACCCAGGAACAAGTGTTTTATAAATGTCACACGCTATGCACATCATTCAAATATAGAAATTTGGCTGTAAATAAGTTCTTCAGGTTATAAACAATAAAATTTATTAAATGTCTCAATTTATTTCCTGGTAATTAATTATTTACAACATATATATTTAGTGCCTCTACAGTTACCACCAGCAGATATCTTATTACAAGCAGAAGGCCTGAAACTAGCAATTAAATTGCACAGGGAAGACCACGTGACATATTATGGTTGATATGATTTGCCAATAGGCCTATGAATTATTAATGAGTGTTTGAAAGATAGTTTACGTCTGTTTTAAAAATCAACCAAGATGGCGTGCAACCACCAATATTTAAATCTGGTCTTTATCATTTATATACAAAAACACAACCAGATGTATTCGCAATCGCAAACGGTTTTTTGAAACTGGTTTCCGTCACCGTCTGAAAAAGTTGAAACGTTATTACTTCGTAATATTATTAATAATTGTCATACAGAAAATGGAAAATCATCCCTGTCAGATCAAACAGGCTACACGGTTGATCGAAGATTACAATACCAAATCAACCAATTTCCTTAAAATGTCGTTGTAGAAAAATCATTGTAGTAATTATTAAATCTCTGTTGCTAAAAATCGATGAACAATTTCCTCAAAATCATATCTATACTGTTCAAATTGTTCCCTTTTATGATTCTCATATTTAAACTCAGATTTCATGTGAAATTAAAAATGGACATAATCTCTACCAAAACATATGATAGAGTTGAACAATTATGACGAAACACTGGTGGACAATTTCTTCAACATCAGCATCTTGTGCAAAAGGTTGTTCCAGACGACGCTGTTCGTACTGGTTGTTCAAGTTATCGCCAATAATTCTTAAATTGCCAGCAACCTCTCTCAATCGACGATTGTTCTCTTGGTTAGAAAACTCGCGTCCCCCGTCACGTTTCCCCCCATTTGACTGAGACATGGTAAATCTTCTTTGTAAAACCTCTTAATTCATTTAACCTGAAACAAGACAAATAATTAGCAAAAACATTTATATTATATAAAAAAAACCCTCGCCTTGTTTTGTACGTTTTATCGCTGTTAAATGTGTGTATTTGTCATAGAAAAATGTCACACGTTATGCAGACTTGAAAAAATACTTTAAAAATCAGAGGGCCTCGAATTGATAGGGATACATTCAGCTACCTG